CTGATGGAGTATATGGCCCAGGAACCCCCGGCCCATAGACTCCTACTTCTCCTACACAAGTCCATTGAGCCCAGAGAACAACTCAGGCCCAAATGCAACGGCCCAAGCCTCAAAGTAGCCCAGAATACATACTGGGGAGCCTTCGGCCTCCTTGGCCGAAGGCTCCAGAACTCACAGGATAGCTTTTTTAGGCATACGAAGCTACTGGGAGAAAACAGCGGAAAACAGGAGCCTTCGGCATTATCCAGCCCTCGGCATCGGAGAAGCCTTCAGCTGAACCAAGCCTCCGGTCACACAGGGCCTTCGGTTACACAGGGGTCCCCGGTTCCACGGAGCCCTCGGCTGCATAAGGAGCCTTCGGCCAAACATGCTCAATCATCGAAGATTCCTTTTGGAGACAGTCAACCACCGCATTTAATGCGACGTCACATCCACCAACCGCATTCAATGCGGTGAACGTACCACTACCGGTGCCACCCGATTGATGTGACCCCTCAGCCGTTGGATTACTGACACGTGTACTCTCATCGCATTTATTGCTGCTATAAATAGCAGCCCATTTCTCCTTGTAAACGATCCAAACTCCCACACGCTGAGTTCATTTAATAAATCGACTCTCTCTCCTCCTATTTTGCTCTGACTTCTCTCTAGTTATTCCCGCAATAACCCCTCGGATAAGATACCCCCCGGGTAGACTGTCCATCAAGCCTCTTATGTACTAACGTAGATAACAATACATATTAATCCTGCTATCCCATACCTCATTACCATTTACATTGTTTCACTGACAATGAAGTAAATTGATCCCTATTCAGACTCATACGTACTTATGTAGTATTATTTTTAGAAAAAAAAGTTCATATATTCCAAAACTACATTAAAAATTTTATAAAGCATGATCAAGAAAATTTAAATATGACAAAATTGGATATATATATAAAACAAAAGATTAAGACTGTTTTATGTTGACCAAGTGCATAGTAAATTGAAACTATTTTATGGATGGAGGTAGTATATAATTTTGGGTTTAATAGGGGTGGGTTGGTTCAAACGGTTCGGTTTTCACCTAAACCCAAACTCCGAACTAAAATAAAAAAAAATTGATTCGGTTCGGTTTAAGTGACACTTAATTCAAGTGTATGTGTTCCACTTAATTCAACACACATATATAATAAATGTAAGTGCAAGTGTTCCACTTAATTCAACACACATATAATAAATGACAATATCTTGCGAATCATAATAAATATAATCTAATATCAAGCATTAATTTTATAGAATTAAGAACTAAACAAAATAGTACACTTAATGATTAATAAATAAAACAACAAGTTTTAAATTGTTCGGTTTATTCGATTCGGTTTGCTTCATTTTTTTGAGTCCACTTTCGATTTTCCTAAGATTTGATTGTTTTGATTGCGGTTCGGGTTTTTACAACTCGGCTTTCAGTTTCACTGATCCACCTAAATTATTACAATCATAAAAAGTGGATTTTAAGAAGCCGTGTTTTTTGGTGCATCAGATTTTTGAAAGGGGCTTATCAAAATTTATTTACTCAAAGTAGGGGTGGACTCAGGTCAGGCCGCCCAGCCCGGTACTGTTTAGAACCGGCCCGGCCCGGGAACCGGTTCCGGTTTGGGCCTAGGCCCGAGGGGTTAAGCGGTTCCGGGCTCGGGTCATGAAAAAGGCCGGCCTGGCCGGGCTCGGTTCGGGCATTTTTTTCCTTTTGTTTTTTCATTTTTTTTTGTTTTTCCCGAGTTGGGCTGGGTGTTTGGGGGGGGGGGGGTTGGGAGTCGGGGGTTAATTAGAAAAGAAAAAAAAAATTAAAAAAAAATAAGAAGTGAACCGGCCTGGCCCGGAACAGCTGCCTACCCGGACCGGTTCCGGTTCTCCCTTACCAAAAAAAGCCCGGCTGGGCCCAGTCCTGAACTGGAACCGGCCTGGGTCCATCCCTAACTCAAAGTCTCAAACCGATCCTTGGTATTTTTGGTGCATCAGATTTTTTGAAAGGGACTTATCAGAATTTATTTACTCAAACCGATCCTTGGGTACTGAATTTGGGTTAATAATAACTTGATGTGCCTTCTCATACACCGGACTGACCGTTTTTAAATACTACATAGTATATAAAGTTTTTTTCTTTATTTATTAATGAAATAAATTTTAAAATTATTATTTGTATAATTTAGTATAATCACACAATTTAGCCAAAACATCATCAATTTAATAGAATCAGTTAATTCAGACAATTATTGTATTAATTATCAGATGCACTCTAAATTGGTAATGTATTAATGACTTTCACATTCTAATATGTTTTTAATGACTTTTTAAGTACTTCTCTTTTTTAATCACCATCTAAATAAACTATCACGTGCATCGCACGGGTATTATACTAGTTCATGGAAGAAGTTAGAAAAGGTTAACTTAAAGGGCATATGCCTTCGAGCTGATTGTATTACTTTGGATGGGTATATGTTTTGGGTTGCAACAAAGATGGGTTTGGCATCAAATGGCGAAGATGATAATGATATAATAGTTTCGTTTGATTTAGCAATGGACGAGTTTAGGTTGATATCACTACCTCCTTCATCCAGGGACAAACTTTCTAAGCTGACTGTGTATGAGAACAGGCTTGCAGTATTTCATCTCTCTCGTATTGTATACACACGAAGCACTTCGAATGATTTGTGGGTGATTGAAGAAGGCATTGGTAGTTCTTGGAGTAAGATATTGACTTATGGCCCTTATCCATACTTTGGGATACCTTTGGCCATTTGGAGGAACCAGATTGTTAGGAATGTTTTTCCTGAATTTATAGTAAAGGGGAGCGATGAGATTGATGCTATTCAGCATGCTGATGGTAGTGTTTTGTTTGATCCCACTTCTAATGAAATCAAGGTCTTTTCTTCGAGCACAAATCGGACCCAGCATGCTGTTTTTAGATATGTTGAAAGCCTTGTACCGATTGCCAACATCAACACTGGATACCATTGATTTTAAAACCTAATTCTTCTTGAATTATTATTAGGAAATTTCTATAGTACCTGTTATATTTAACAGGTACGGTGCCTCTGCTTTGTACCTCTTTCATCTAAAACCAAAGCACAAGCAAATATAGTGTTGGCAAATAATCACCAAAACAAACAAAATTATGTCTGCTAACTCCATCTTCCCAAAAGAGCCGCCTCAGTCTATCATCACTACCAATTCGGAATTTGACATAAACATAGCCACATAGGATCATGATTTGTCTACCCTTGGTAATAGCCTATGCAGCAGCAACAACATCCCCATCTTTAATCTCACCTTGTATGTTGCTATCAAAACAGTTGTGCAAATTTTTTTTGTAAAACCAATATTGTTATATACTCCCTCCGGTTTTTAATAAACTTCACACTTTCCTTTTTGGGACGGTCTAAAATAAACTTCACATTTCCTTATTTCCTTTTTTGGCAAAGAAATCTACATCAAAACAGTGCCAAACAGTGTCTCAACAGTGCCAAACAGTGTCTCTACAGTGCCAAACAGTGTCAAACAGTGCCTCAATAGTGTACTCTACAGTAAAGTCAAATTTCTTTCCTTATTTTGTGTGAAGTCAAACTGTGAAGATTAAAAAAAATCGGAGGTAGTATAATTTTTTGACCCCACCATGTACCCCATTTATATGAAAAAAATCCTAATTACATGTATATGCAGAGTATCAATCTGCAGCTTTATCAACTTATATGATTATGTCATTCCATGATAAACATGTAATAAATGCATAATTGGTCTGAGTGAGAGATTTATGTTCTCCTTTCCTGGTGTAAACACGTCACTATCCAACTCCATGTTTTTGTCATGTAACGTGCACTGAATCTTGCATGATGATTGGTCCGAATGAGAGGTTTGTGTTCTCCTTTCCTATAGTCCTTGCAAAATATACTTTAGGTTTTGTAGATCCTTTCTATTGCATACGTAATGTTGTGTTGATAAGAACAGAAAAATAATCAACAGGGTGAATCGTTGCCCAGATAATCAACGATAAATAAATACCGTTGACCAGAGCCAAAAGGCTAAACCACTTTTATTCCAAGATGAGCAAGAATGAATCCTAACAAAGGGTTTAAATACCCATCTACTAACTCTCAAACTAGGAAACAAAATCCTAGAGATCCTAATCAACTCCAACTAGGAAACAGAATAATAAAGATCCTAATCAACTTCAAATAGGAAAGAAATAATAGAAATCTTAATTAACTCCTAATAGGAAACAAATATTAGAAATCCTAATTAACTCCAAAATGAAACAAATCAGGAAAAATAAAAAGAATAAATATTAATTAAACAGCCCGCAACCAGCCCACGGCAGTAGGCTCAAGCCCGTCCCGCCTTCGGTAAACCCACGGGGGCTTCTTCCCCTCTTCTTTCAAGCCCAGATTCTCCTTCATATCAATTTCATCCCTCTTCAAAAAAACCTTGTCCTCAAGATTGAAATCCAGAAACCGGCTGACATTTGTTCTCGGTGGTTGCCCAGTATCTTTAGGAAAAATTGAGATGTACTCCTCCACAGTCCTTGTCTGCTTGTCTCCGGACAGTCGTTCAAAGTGGTTGCCCTTAAACCGTGAGTCATAACGAGCCATCGCCTGTGTAAACGCATCCCATGACATGCCCGACTTTCGTGTCCGTATCCAGGTCAACCGGTATAGGGCTGACCCCTTCATCGCAACTACAGTGGTTGCCGCTTTCTTTCTCGGCAGAGTACAATTCAATTCGAACCGTTTCTCAGCCTTATCAACCCGGTTGATCGGTTCTATTTCGTTAAACGATGGCAACATCGTGAGGAAGGAGCTGCATAGTCCAATTCCGAATGATGACTGATCCTAATCTTTCATACTTTTACACACACTCCTATTTTTTTACAGTATTCATTACCAATATTATTTTATCCTAAAACTTTGTGCACAAACCTAATGTAGAGAACAACTAAATAGGGAGGGAGTATAAAATATCACATAATTCAATACCAGGACATCTAGGAGAAGGTAGTAGGGTAGGAATTAGAAATCTTCTCTCTACATTAAAAAATCTGGAAGTGCCGGAGTAGTTTTTTGCTAAGAAGCGTCAAACCTAGCTAAGCATATGGGTAACGAAGTGAGTATGAAGGCGGCGGAGATGAGTAGCGGCGACCCATTCCTTCCAATAGAAATCCTCTCCGACGTTCTCAAGCGACTTCCGGTGAAATCCCTAATACGATTCCAAAGCGTGTGCTCTCATTGGAAGGATCTCATCAACAGCCCATCTTTCATCGCCAGCCATCTCGACCACTCCGATCGAGAAAATCCCTCTCTCATTTCTAGGAGACAGAACACCCTCTCCGGTACCTCGATTCCATATCTTCTCGACCGCGACACGCAACTCCGCCAAGTTCCGAAAAATCCTCTTAGCGATTCGCTCAAGGACGTCATTATCTTGGGCTCCTGCAACGGCTTGCTCTGTGTTCAAACTGGGCGGTCTGGTTATATAAAGTATCTTTACTTGTGGAATCCTGCTATTAGGGAGGTTATGCATGTGCCTAGAAGCAGATCAAGCATGGATTCACCTTATATTCTTTGTTTAGGCTTTGCATTCAGTCCAACTATTAACGACTACAAAATTGTCATACCCTATGTGACGCTGGGACTGCGGGATGAGCTAGAATATGGATTTGAAGCTTATTCACTAACCACAAATTCATGGAAGCATATAGGAATGGGTAGCTTAAACGCCTTAATTGGCATGTATCCATTCACTGATTGTATTACTTTAAATGGGTCTATATTTTGGTTGGCATCACAGAAAGATCTGGTATCTCATGGGGGAGATAATCCTAATGTCATACTTTGGTTGTATTTAGCAACGGATGAGTTTAGATTGATACCACTGCCTCCTTCATCCAAGAATGAAATTGCAACCCTGACTGTGTATGAGCACAGGCTTGCCGTATTCCATAACTCTAGTGGTTGCACAGAAAATAGTTTGATCGATTTGTGGGTGATTGAGGAAGGCATTGGTATTTCTTGGAGCAAAATATTGAGTTGTGGCCCTTATCCACACATTGTAGTACCGTTGACCATTTGGCGGAACCAGATTATCTGCGATGTTTTTCCTAAACATTCAACAGAGGGGAACGATGACAATGACGCTGCTGGTAGCTTTTTGTTTGATCCCACTTCCAATGAAGTCAAGGTCCTTTATTCGGGCAGAGAAGGCATTCTTCATACTGTGTTTACATATGCTGAAAGCCTTGTATCCATTAGCAACATCCACACTGGAAAGCATTGATTTCAAAGCGTAATCATTGTTGCATTCTTATAATGCATTGCAGATTTACTGATTGTATTGACTCTTTGTAGACGATGATAAGTGATAACTTAATTGTTTGTTCCTAGTTGTAGAACATTTAAACGCCTTTTAAAGAACGCATTTTATCATAAAAATTAAGGAGTATTTGTTATTTGTGTGATTACATTTGCTCATTTTTTACATGTTTTAAACACTTCGTATGTTATTAGTGTATTCAAATGTATTGTTTAACGATTTAAGGTTCTAGCAACTTTTTAAAGTCTATGTAACTTGTATTCTATCCCTTAAGGCTGGTTTGCAAGTTGCAACTGATTAAAAAAAAAACATTTCTCAACTTTTGGCTTAAAAAAGTATTTATCTACCAAACTCTATAAATTTTTACTTTTCTTGGTTTTCGTGTGAAAAGTGTTTTTCCCTTTTCTATTACACAAAAAACACTTATTTTATTAAACACTATCAACTTTTATTTTTCAGAATAACTTTTTTCTCAAACACTATCAACTTTTACTACTCATCACTTTTTCTAAATCACTCCAAAAGTGCTTTTTAAGCAGAAGTAGTTGCAAACATTCCTTTAATCTCTTGCCAAGCCTAGAGTCTGAGTTATAGAATTACACATGTTTTAACAGGTTTTGTGTTCCATTTCAAGTTGTTCAAAAACTATGTAATATACTTGATGGTACCATGGATTCCAACCATGACCCAATTACGCAACCCAGTCCAATTAACGGGATTAGCCTAATTAACAGGATTAGCGCAATTAACGGGATCAGCCCAATTAACGGGATTAATGTTGAATAGGCCGCTTATCCATCAGGGATCAGGCCCACGATAGGAACCCACAGCCAGGCCGAGCTGGACAGCAGACCTCGAGCCTGGGCGGAGTTCTAGTGAGGCCGGAATATCCCCAAGGTTTACGTGGCGCGATACTATTCGACGAGAGATATTTGGCAACAGGCAGTACTCGACGAGAGATACGTGGCGCTTATTATAAGCATTTCCATGCTTACCCGTCATCTGCTTACTAGAAGGTTGTGAATTACCAAATGCCGCCACCAAGGCTTGCCACTATTCGGGCGTGAAGCTAGGGAGTGGTGTGTCTGCCGCTGCACTGGAAGAGGTTCCAGCCGCCCCCTCATGCCGTCCAGAAGTCTCGGAAATAGCCGCATGAGCTTTTGCTCCTGGTTTGATGCGTCCACGGTCTTTCCCTGGAGGAGCCACACTGCCCTTTCCTCGTCCAGCGCATTTGCTATCAACACGCGGACGGTCGCCCCACCAATCCAGATAGCCTTTTAATTCAAAGCAAGAGGTGACGTCATGACCCGTATACTTACAATACGTACACATCAGCCCCGCCTTGCCCGGTTTAGCCCCACGTTTTGCATTCTGTCCGTGAGCTTGGACTGCAAAGCCCATGATTTCCCCTCATGTTTTGGAGTAGTTAATGTTTAAATGATCTGAGCTGGCAGAACTATTGAGGTGCTGCTGGGAAAAAAGATATAATTTTTTACTAAACATTAGGTTATCCTGAGTTTCATGGTGCTCTGTTCAGTTTTATAGTTTGATACAACTTCTATATTATTTTTCCCTTTTAACCTTGTAAGTATTACTGAGTTTTCAATACTAATGCTTCCTTACTTGATCCAGTTAGCTAAATAAAGTGGATAGATCACAAAGGCATTACGGAGAGGGTATTACAAGGCAATGTACAAATAAATTTGGTGCTGATTATTTACAAGGCCATTGGTGATTGTGATGCATGGGAGGAAATAGTTTGAATGGTATTTTCTTAACGACCTCTAGTAGTGGTTTTGAAGGGGTTTCTAAAAAATTAAGTGATTGTTTTTAGTTGAATTAGGAGTGTAAGGTTGTGGACACTAGGGATTAAGCATTAAATATCGTGAAGGTAATCACATGTAATTTCTGTTACATTTCATATGTTTTTAAAATATTTTTGCTCAACTCACAGAATCAAGAGCCACAGTTTCTTATGAATTTTGTCTAGGTTATATGTGATTTTATTTAGTAGATATTAGGGAGATTTTCTATATAAATACACATGTTGCATTCTATTTGACAGCAGGAAAGAGTTTCAGCATTTTGATGACCTTATGGAAGATTGTGATAGTGAAATATTGTGAAATGAATGTCATGAAACAAATGTCATTCTACTTTTTTGATCACTTATATTTGTAGTGTGTATACATTTGGGTTAAGCTTTTATAGGTTCATGTATACATTAAAATTAAAGGACCAGTCTGCAACAAGTGAAGTATTAATCAATATTCTTTTGTGTAGGGAGAGGAAGAAGCATCTTATGCGATCAACCTTCATCCTTCTGTTAATGGATTGGACCAGGCATTCTCACAATCTCTTCATACAGTTGAGTTACCTGATGCTAAATAACCTCCAGTTTGAAAGTAGATTGTAATATAATTGGGACAAATGGGTTGATGAAGTCAAACAACATGAAAACTATGGAGATCCTGGGATGGGCTTTAGTGATGATTTTGACTTTCTGTACTTTAACATGAATGGTGGTGATCCTGGAGGGTTTGGTGGAAATTTTAGTGCTGGAACACTAGGAGATAATGATGATGGTTAAAGCGATGCTCATGGTCCCTATTGCTGTTAGGGATTTTCATTTAAACTAGGATGAGGTGTTTTGAATGTTAACTAGAAAATGTTGATCGATGTATATATTTACATGATTCTTGTGTTTTCCAACCACTTTGTTTGTTATAGGAATGGCTTTGCCTAAGTTCGTGTAGAACTTTATCATCTAAGTGCTCAATCATACATTTTGGATTGGACTGTGAATAACAGAGTGCAACGTGTGCCTTTCTAGTCAGAAGAATAAATTATTTATTTATTTTTTGCAAAGAAGACTGACTTTTTATAAGGGTTCAAATTGACCGACACAAAATCTGCTTTCAAATAAAATGACTTTTCATAACGGTGACGGAACAACTGATATAAAAACTTTTCTATAAGGGTTCAACTAACTGACATAGACTAATATGCACTTTTAATATCACCGGGATCTATGTCGGTTGTGAACCGATATTAAATGTCACTTTCACCCCATATTAAAAGCAATTTTTCCACTAATGGTGTTATTCATGCCTTGAACCCTCTCCTCTTGCGTGGTCTGTTGGTACGCCCGGTTCAACGTGGGCAGTGGAAATTGCGTGAGAAGTTGAGACCGTACGTTTCTGAAAAATTCAGAATTTAGGCCCATCAAAAATTGATGAAAACGCTTTGACTCCCTTCGTTTTTCATGCTGCTTAGCTAAATCACATTTGCACTTTCCACACGTCCACGCGATGATGGGTTCATAATTATTTAATTCGTCCCAAAGAATTTTTAATTTAGCATAATATGAACCCACGTTCATCCCGCGTGTTTGAGTGCATTTGGCAAGATCGGTCTTCACCTGGTGTATTTTCAGACCATCCACATCAGAATAATGTTCTTGGAGGTCATTCCACTGTACACGAAGGTCTTTGTATTGAGAAAGTGTGCACTTAACCTCAGGCCAGATTGTATTGAGAAGCCACGAAACGATCCTGGACTGTATTGTTAAGCAGTCCTGCGTCCATGGAGCAACTGGTCCTGTAATCGTGCCATCAAAGAACACGTACTTCCGGCGTGCTCTCAAGGACAGCCACACCGCGTTATCCCAAACATCATAATTGTCGCCGGTTAATCGCACCGAAGTGATAAAATCACCCGGTCTATCTTGTGGCCTTAGATAAAACGGAGAGGTGTGATCTGTCCGGCTCTGTCCAGCTTCATAATTGTCGCCGGCAGCCATAGAATTGTTTTAAGGCTCTGATACCATAACAAGTTTAAGCTTATAACAATAATAGTTTAAGAGGAATTTCTCATATTCGTATTATGAAGCTTGACGCTATTATATAGCTAAAACCGATCAGTACAAGGCAAAGAGAAAAGGAAAAAATATTCCTAGAAGGAAACTACCAACTAGAGATATATTCCTAATAAAAAGCAATCATTCTTAATAAATATAATAAATTTTAATATGTTAACATATATCCGTCCATAATAGGTTTACCTCAAACAACCTTCCAAAACCTCCAATAAACTAGTCTTGAAGAACATTAAAATAGGAGGTTTTGTGAGGTGAGTCTCTTTATATATTACTAGACGTAGACGAAATACCCGTGCGATGCATGGGATATATCTAGAGTGGAGAAATAGAGGGTCTTCGGAAAATGGTCTTTCAGCTAAAAATGGCGGTTTGACAACTTTAGGATTTTCAATAAGTGAAAATGCTGTTTAGTACAGCTGTCCAGTCTAGCCTTTTTGAACGAAAACGCTGAAATGAAAACGCTACAAATGAGAATTATGGGTTAGTATTTTGAAATATAACGTTTTCTACTAATTGTTATGGCCAAAATCTAAATTACCAAACATTTTTTGACAACCCGTCAACTTATTCTGCTAATCAAACCCGCTAACTGGATCCGCTATTAAAAAACCGCTAACATAATTCGTCATTCGCTAACCACTAAATGTCAAACACGCCCATAACATGTTTAAAATTACATTATGTTATGGAGTATAATGGTACGTAATGAGATTTTTTTAAATAGAAAAGAGAAAAAGGTCAAATAGTTTCTTTTACTATTTTCATTTTATCACTTAAGTTCCTTATACTAAAAACATATCATATAAATATGTTTACTTTTTAAAAATCGATCAATATGACCTTTCAATCGATTTTTGACATGTAATAGCATGTTTTTTATATTAATTTTTAAAAAAAAAAATGTTAAAATTTGAAGAACGGTAAATAAAAGAGCGGAGAATTTAGGAATGCCAAAGTCTATATTTTTGTATTCTTGAAAGTATTCGTATATTCTACATTTTTCGAGTTACTAAAGTTTAATTTATGTTTTTACACTTTCACTTTATCTTTTTTTCTTTTCTTCTATTTGTATGAGGTAATACAAATGACTATATGAGGTAAGTAAAAAAATGTCCTAAACATTTTGTAATTGCTATTGAGGAAATAAATACTCGGATTGACAATTTAATCACCGCTAAATTTCTTTTTTGGATGTCCCATTTAAAGGTTCTCATTTCTATTTTATGATACAATTTGTGCTCTTAGATGACATTTAATCATCAAATATT